CGGGTGTTGGTGTCTGTGAGTTGTACCGGAGTGCCCTCTGGCGTTGACATCTGTGTCCCTGCTCCACCTGTGGACTCAAACACTTCACAGCTCAGACCTGACGGGTCCCACATGTGAGTACAAGACAGCCATGAGTGTCTGCAGTTACACAGTGAATCTTTTTGTATTATTTTACAGGAGCAGTGAGCCTTAAAATGGGAAGACTGACACTCATGTTTGTCCGTTAAATGTACTGTGACGTCAATGCTAACAGTTAGCAGCCTGTTAGCTTAGTTTAAATTAGCATTATTAGCATAGCTCTGTAATATCCAACCACCAGCTCCTCTAAAACTCACTAATTATCATGTTACATCTTATAATCCATTCAAAGACAAAAGTTAAATGTGACAAGCTGTAGTTTAGGAAACCATTTTTCAGCAGGTGCAGTTAGGGACTGTTCTTTACTTATCACAGGGGGTGGCTGGGGTGTCACTTTGTTTTATTTTTTAATTTTTAATTTTTTTTTTACCCTCCCTTTTTTGAGTCTCCTTGAGTGACTGGCAAAAATGCATGACCTCCCTCCACCATAAATTAATTATTAGGTTTTTAAAATGCACCTTATAGTGGCTAAAGGCTAGTTCACATTACACTATTGTCACCCTGATTTTGTGTCGTGGAAACGTAATCATAATCTTTTGAGTGTTCATACCTGCCGATGTGTGTTTCTGTCAGCGGGAGTCTCGCCAACTGCGTTATGACCTGTGTGTGCACACCACAAGATTTCTCCACTCAGCCCTCTCCGACAGAGCCCCAGATAACGCTGTGATGTCACCAAACTTGGAGACGACACATCGTAAAGGCATGGATATTCTTCCCAGTGTTGAATCAGATCTGTCTCCAGGGCCTGGGTGCAAACACAACGCGCTCCCTGTGATTCTGTGGATGCCGCCATTGTTGTTGTTGCTTGCTGGCTGGCTTGTCAGTGTTGCCAGATCTTGGGAGAGAAACAAGCAACCAGGGCTATGGAAACAAGCCCAAAAGATGCGACTATCATGCGTATAAATAACTAATTAGACGTAGAGAGAAAGGTAACGTTTAGAGAGCAAGCCCAAATAAATGGCAACCCTGCGGCTTGTCCTCCTCACATTTCTTCCATCCTCCTGCGTGCTGGCGTGGGACGTATCCTGCCTCTCATTGGCTGATGCTCTTTGTCAGCGGTGTCACACTTCTCCAGTTTTCTTGCATGCCAGATATCCAGTCCCAGTCACAGACGAGGGGGCGACTTGCTCGTAGGACTTGTTGTGGCAGACTATCTGGCGACTCACGTCCAACCCAAGGTGGCTCTCAAGATCCTCTGCGAAAATCGCAGTGAAAAGGTGAACTAGGCTTAAGCCTAAACTTAAAGCCACTGAGGGGCTACATAAGGCGCGTTCGAGATGAATCAGGCCAGCCCAGATTCGATCACCTGCGATCACCGCACATTGCATGCCGGTAAATTTTGTGTCCAACTTCATCCCAACTTGCTCCAATGTCATACAAAAGTTGAACTGTGATAATCATGCACATTTTTAGAGCCAGGCACTTCACAATTGCATGATAATAAGTCAACATCATATCGGAGAGGATGTGAGTGTTTCTGTAACTTCCAGTACGGACTGCAGGCTGCTGGAAACTGTTGCAATACTGACTGACTTGACCGTGGTTTTTTTTCACTGCCTCCTGCTGGAGCCGCCTGATCTCATCTACTTCCCAGGGGAGGCGCAGTTCATCTCGAACGAGCCTATAGACAGGCTACATACTAATTGACGCGCTTGCCCGACCTAAACGACCACTGCTCGTCAGGTGAAAACAGAGTCAACTTCTTCTTCTTCGATGCATATGTACGTAAAGCATTTAAATGTTCAGATTACATTGAGCAGTGCATACCTGACTGGGCGTGGCCCGGCATTGCGTTCAAAAAACAATGAATGGTTCCTACCTACATTGACAGACACCCATGACAATACAGTGACCCCTACAGGACAAATTAGCATCCCACATACACATTTTACACTGGGTATGGCTCCTATACACTCTTTGGTGATTGTAGGTTAGAAGTTAAAGACGAAATCTTGGAGTTGGAAAAAGCCTAGTTTTTTCCACTTTTGTTGTTTTTTAAATTAGATGTAGGATAAAGTGATTTCGATGAAATATCACTTTTTAAAACTCAGACTTGTTAGTCGCACATGTCCAAGGACTGTCAGATATTTTAAAATCCAGCGATAATTTCTGTTTTTGCAGTTTCTGGCTGTGATAAGTGGTGTAATTTTGGTGATTTTTAAAGAAATCATGCAGGGTGGATTTTGAAGACATGCTTTCCATAAAAATGGTGGCAAAATAAATACAAATTATAATCATTTAGATGTTTATGTCCCTCCCCTAAGCCAAAATAAAGTAAAACATATGACCTTCCCCCGTGCTTAAAAAAATATTTGACATGTCTCTCCCTTTTTGCACTGCTCCCTCATCCCTCATGAGAAAAAAAACAACAAACAGTCCCTAACTTGTTGAAGACTTTTCATTGCTGTGTGGTTGCCAGGCAACCAGCTGCAAGTTACTACCAGCTCAAAGAGTAAAAACAAGGTTTTTTGTATGGATTAAACAACAGATAGGCCTATTATGCAAACAACATATATAATGTGTTTATCAGTGAGCGTTAAAGGTGCTGGTAAGCTGATTTAAAAAAGAAAAAAAAACCTTTGGTAAAGCCAGGTTAGCGCTCCGTTTTTATGTTTAATGCTAAGCTAAGCTAGCTGGCTGTAGCTGTAATGGCTGTGTTTAATGACAGATAGTTCATCATCAGAATCCTAATTATCGGTAAGTAATAGAAGAAAAGTTTTCTTTCTTTATTTATGTAGTTAAGTACAGGGGTTCTCAATTTGCAGTATGTAGCACAGTATGTTAGTTATGAAGTTTAGAGAGAGACTCTCTTGGATGAACAGTTAAAGGTCTAGTGTGTAGGATTTAGTGGCATCTAGAGGTGAGATTGCAGAACTGAAACTTCTCCCATATGCCAAGCATATAGGTGAACTATGGTGGTGGGTGCAAAAACATGATAACATGAGCTGGATTTTGATTTGTCCATTCTGCTTTACTGTTGAAGAACATGGTGGACTCCATGGATAAAGACCTGCTCTGTATACAAATGTAGTAGGGATGGGTCACGATTTTTGAATTTTCGAATAGTCGTTTTATTTTGAAAAATCGATTTTTTAATGCGACTATTACTATTTGCCGTCTTATTTCCCCCCTTTATTTGACATGCAATTCAGTTCCTAACCGCACGGGGGCAGGTCTTCTACAAACAGGAGAAACATGCAGAGACTACTTCAGTCATCAAAAAGTTCCGTGTGGAACAACTTCGACAAAATAAACGAAAATGAGGTGCAGTGCAAACTCTGTGAGGCAAAGCTTGCGTATCACAAGTCTACAACAAGTATGCACAGTCATTTGAGAGCGAGGCACGCAGGAGGCCGAGGGACCGTACGGCGGGGGTCCACCGGGCCCGTCAGCGGCGCGACACGTCTGCAGCGCGAGTCCTGTAGTAGCTCGCCCCCCTGTTAATCGATTACAGTGGCTCCACCGGCAACGGGAGTGGCGCGACAACCACCGTCTGTCGCACGACAACTCTCTATTTTACGCGACTCTTCTATTTTTGTCGTGCTACGCTCCCCTACGCGACCCTCCAGCAGATAAAAACTACATGAAATAGTGTGCTAAACGAGCACAATATGTTTTTAAATGAATAAACCATTATCAGAGGTGATATGTGATGATTTTTTTTTCATGCATTTACCCATGTTTATCCGTGACATTGTGTAAATGTCCGTGGTGGACATTTGAAAGCGAGTAGATGACAAACAGTACAGTAAACTTGTAGATAACTCAAATATATGTAATAATTTAGGTGGAAAATGCTTTAACATTTCATGCAGCCTACATGCAGCCTCTCGGCTCAGCAAACGGTAAACAACCCTGCTGACTTCTCTACGTGTCGCTTCCGTACGCAGTCAGTTGAGCCCAAATGAATACGCCGCGACGCTACGCTGACGTGACGCTTTGCAGCCAGTGGAGCCCGGCCGAAATGATGAATGGATCTCTGTGTGCGTGGCTCCGGGGGTGAGGTGGGGGGGGGATTATTCGAAAAATCGTCGAATAGTTGCTATGATTTTCGAATAGTGTTTTTGCTTGTGCTGCCCATCCCTAAAATGTAGACGGCTCATTCTAAGGTAACAAAAACACAACGATTCTTGTTTTCAAGTGATTCGAAACTAATGAAAACATAGCCATGAATATGATGCCTCCATACACTGGACTGTTAACAACTAATGGGCACCTGAAATCTAACAAGGAGCTCCAGCTAGATGCTGCTGTTTTTTTGTCAAAGGTCAAAAGTCAAAATTAGGCTGTAGATCAGTGGTATACTATTTAACAATGCTTTGTATTTTAAAGGCTAAGCACATCATTTGTGATGATTTGCTATTTTGAGACTAATTGTACATATTTGAAATGGCATGACAAACTTGGGGCCTTCTAATGGTTGTATTTATTTACCATTTTTGTGTTTGTTTAGTCTGTATGTGTAACTGATTAATTGTTTGGCCTTTTTTTCTGTTGCCACTCTAACGTTGTTAATTTGATTGTTTTTACTATGTGTCGGACCCTTTGACAACAAGATGACCCATCTCGAGGGGCTTATCCTAAATAAAATATATTGGCGCATATGTACTTTTAATGTAAAGCCTTAAAAGTAACTAGTTAAATAACAGTAGTGGAGTAAAAAGCCAAATATTCCTCCCTGAAATGTAGTGGAGCAGAAGTATAAACGGAAAAACGAAAGTACAAGTGCTTTAAAACTTTACTAAAGCACAGTACACAATGTACTTGGTGACTTTTTCACCTCTGAGGAGTAGCACAATCCTTTGAACCCAGCTGATTTAAAAGCAGAGACAAAACTATAAAGAAGAGGAACAAAATCTGTGTTACAGCCTCAAGTCACTCAGTATTTATTTATACATTGCTTTATGAAAGGTTTATGAGATGCAGCATCAGCACACTTCATATTACTGCTTTCAAAACACTGTTTGCCCCTGGATTAGTCTTATTTACGCTGGAGAGGCTTTCTCTATAACCCAGTGTGTAATGACAAATCGCTGCAGATCTTAAGGCTCTGAACAGTAAAAAGCAGACGTCTGTTTCAGTCTCATTTACTTTCTTACTACCAAGCACGTCTCAACCTGCCTCCTCAGCACCTTTCAGCAGTTTCCACATCATACTCCACATGTGAATAGCAGTTCAGAAATGCTTATTTACACTTCATTCGAACCAGTGTTGACATGTAGATGTGCCGTCTCCACACATGCAATATTAATCTGCTGATCCTGTTGCAAATAGCCCCCAGTAAGCGTCTACATTACTCCACACCAGTCTGGTTTCATACGAATGTTTCATTGTGAGAGGTGGATGTGTTGCTTGTGTTTGGTGCAGACGACATTAAAGATTTGATGCACAGCTCCAGCAGAGTCTCTATAGTCCTGATCAGAAGAATGTTCACACTGAGGTTAAGAGGCAGCACAAAGATGGAGAGTGCACTCATGAACCCTATCATTACTGTCGCCCCCGGGTGGGGAAAACCCCACTGTCGCCACCCACTTTGGCTCCTGTATTGCGAGACCACATGTTCCGCCATGATAAATGTCAGAGGTATACCTCTCTTTGTCCTTCCCTGCTCCTGTCCTTCTCTCTCTGCGGGCAAACACTCAGGGGAGATGAGGACAAAGTCTCCATGGTGATGCGCCAACATCTGCACCCTGTTCCAGGAATACGCTCTGTGAACAGTGCAGCTGCTCTCTGTTTTCTCTGGGTCAACACACTGTGCTGGCTCTGACTCCAACACCCCAGAGTTCACAGGCTTGGAGGGCGCAGCAGACGGCGCTGGAACAAGGTCTTGCAAGCAACTGTCACGGTTATTGTTAATGTTGCGTTTCTCTCTGTGTGTCCTCGCCGTCTGTGTAGGGGCCTGTTGGCTTCTCTGAAGGCCGATACTCACAGTCAGGAGGAACAGGAGGAAGGAGAGGAAGGCCATGCCCCAGCAGGGATTCACAGTGCTAGGCATGGGGCTGAGCAGGTTGGGCAAACATCTGATGAGGGAGTTTGTTGTGTGCACACAGGCAGTAGCCCACATTTCCTCCTGCTTCCATCGCCACCTGACATTGACGGCGACAACGACCCACACTGACAGGCAGCAGAGGTAACTGACAGCATGAGACGATGTCTTTTCTCTGTCTTTGTTGTCCTCCTGCTGCTCTTCCACAGTTACCTCCCCAACATAACAATGCTGTCCATCAGAGCCCACTCTTTGACTCTGAGCGACGACAGACTGAGGCCACAGCAGTCTGGTCAGAGTCTCCACGGCGATCAGAGGTGTGGTCAGGAGCAACACGGCACCGTATGTGTGGCTGAGAAAGAGCAGGAAGCGCAGGGCAATGGCATCACCAATCGGGGACAACTCAGTCAGCCAGGACTCAAAGATGTAAAGGAAAGTCAGAAAAACTGTGGGATAAAAAAATAACAAAGTGTCAGTGAGTTAGGGGATCGGACTGGATTAGAGCAGTGGTTCCCAACCAGAGGTGTGTGTAAAGATGATGGAGCAGCTCAGCTAATTGGGAAAAATAAAAGACCCCCTCAAGACATGTTTTAAGAGATCTGCTTGGAATATCAATTTGTGTTTGATATGTTTTTTCCACAGAAGAAAAATTGAATTACCAAGATAGAAATTCTGCATCCCTCTTTGAAAAATCCACAATCTATTAAAGTGCAATTATTATCCATTTCACACAAGATGTCTCCTACTTCACTGAAAAGATTTATTTTCATTATCAGTTAATCGATTGATAAACAGTGACAAATGCCTATCAAAATTTCTTTGAAGATATACTATGCAGGATTTTTCTAAAAACAATGTATGGACTAATACAAAAGTACCCCCCCCATCATCACTTATGACCCACTAGAAGTGTGTAGCAGTGTATTTATCTGCAGACGCTGCCCTCTGCCTGTATTTTATTATTTTCCTCTTATTTTACTGTGTTCAGGACGTTCCTGGGTACAGCTCACAGGTGAGGTTGAGCCTTCAGATGTGGCACTGCAGAAGGCACTATGCCACACTGCACATGGCACTGCACGAAAGTTACATTTTGGTATGATTTGGGTGACACACTCACTAAAATTATGGACACACCAATTCCATTAGATCCAGGACTTCAAATTTGAAATTAAATTAAAGCTCCAGGAAGTGTATTGCATTAACCTGGAAGTCAGATCCCCCCTCTCTATATCAAAGTGGACATCAGAAATGACAATTTTCCAATGCAAATGCCTCTAGAGAAGATCACCTATGTCCTGAAAAAAAGATATGATGCCGTTCATTGAGTATATAGAGACATTACCTTTATCAACTGTGGACTAATCTCTGAACTGGCTCCATTGTAAGCTGTTAGTCACATCCAGGTACAGTGGTCTTGTGTGATGTGTTGAATTTTTTTGTTTGTTTGTTTGTTTGTTTTCTATTTTGTTTTTTAGGGGGTATAGGTTGTGGTGTTCATGCTAGATTAAAAAAATTACAAGAAAATATTTTTAAAAAACACAAATATGGCAGCAAATCAGCAAACAGACAAAACTCGTTCCAAAATGACGGTGAAATAACAGTTTGCTTTTTACTATTACTTTCACTCGTGGGCATGTTAATGAACAGTAACTGTCAATTCCTGCATAGTACACCTTTTAAACAGTATTTACACCTTCAGATTACTTGTTTTGTCCATCCAACTCTCTAAAAGCCAAATATATTCAGCGTACTATCACAAAGGACAAAGCAAATCCTCACAGCTGAGAAGCTGAATTAAGAAATGTTTGGCTGTTTGTGCTCTTAAAATGACTTGTAACCGTCATTTTATTGCTCTACTTTGACCATTCAGTCGATTCAGTTCAGCTATAATGTCTTAAATGAGAAAATATTGTAACAATATCCACTTTAAGATACACATTTGGAACATTACAGGTGGTGCTGATGAAGTCCGATGCACCCAGTCATGCCTCCATACTGACCTGTGACCAGGAAGTCGGTGAAGACCAGGAGGCAGCAGCAGCAGAAGCTGACCAGACTGTAGGGGGCAGCCAGCGAGGGCAGGAAGAGGAGACTGCAGGCCAGTTTACCCACACACAACACCACCGCTCCTTCCAACACACCATCCATGGCTACAACAAGACAACACATACACGCGGTTCAACATATCGAAAAACTGGTTCTCCTTTAGCCTCAGGGTGGAGGAGTTCAGGAATGCCAGGCACTCTGCTGTCAGTAAACCCCCCCCAATGGTGTTAAATATATCTGTATGTAATGTTTTTACATGATCTTCCCACTGTCAGGGAATGTTTCTGCCCCGTGTTTGAAGATCAATATTTTTGTTGTTTACATTAGTAGTGAACCCTGGACCAGACAGCTGTTTACAGTCGATCAAAAATGAGTTCTCTGCCCTCAATATGATATTTAAAATGATATTTAACACCAGAAATTAATAAACAAATGCCATGAAATTCCTCAGTAATGTAAAACAGATGCAAATTTACACACAGACTCTGGTGCTGGGAAGTGAGTGTAAATAAACCCACCTACTGACCATGATACTGCACAGTCAGACTGGTTCAACCTGTTGAAACTTCTCCATTATTATCTCTATTGTGTGCTTCCAGTATGAACATTCAAACTACCTGCAACAGAAAACTAGCAATGTAGTTAAAACAACTGCTGTGAAGTTCTTACCTGGAATCACAGGAGCCTTTAGAGCTGCATGTCAATATGAGCTTCAAATGTTTCATCCGTTGCCTTCACTTCCCCCTGTTGCTCCGCCCTCATGGGGATAATGACACCCCCTCCCTCCTGCTTCCCCCTCGCCTCCCCACCTCCCGTGCTCCCTGCTGCACCTGGCCTGCGAGAGGTGAGAGAACATGTGCGGCTTGGAGGGTGTGGCACTGTTTGTACAGACAAGAAAACCTGTCTAACAACTAACTAACTAACTAACAGTGAGAGATGCAAAGTGCATGTCGGTGTGTGTGTGTGTGTGTGTGTGTCAGTATATCAGTGTGTTGACATCGGTGAAGGGCACACTGAATAAAAGATGTTTCATTTTCACTGAGAATGTACAAACATTCCTGTGCTACACCCACCTTGTTCAAACTACAGTATGTTATTTCAAAGGTTACAGCAAATACACACATGGAGGGTGTTTCTTAAAGCAGGATTAGACTGTAGATCACATAACACATAAAGATATTATTCATTCACACTTTTAAATGCTTCATTTTAACCTCAGACCCTGTTACGATTGGACAGATGGGATGGTCCTATTTAACAAACAGAGGAGTGCTGTGTTGTGCATTATGTATCTATAAGTTCCTCCTGGGAACGCTTCCTCATTATCTGTTCTCCGATTACATCTAAATGTCAGGTCAGTCACAAGACATTTTAATTTAGATGCACCTCTTGTTCAAACGGAGCTTTGAAAAAACTGGCTTGAAACACGATGCGCCTCACAGATGGAATCAGATGCGAAAAACGTTTGGGTTAGAATCTCTTTTTCATCAGAAGACTTTAAAATAGGCTGCGGGTGAAATTTAATTGTGGCACTTTTGACGCATCACATGAGATGGTGATGTTTAAATTTTCATTTTTGTTGTCTCCAAGCCCCTAAAAGACTTGTCACCCATGTTGGTTTAAAAGCTCTTTTGAAAGTTGATGAGCATGATACGATCGATCGAAACATCCGGAACAGCCACTTACCTTGGGGTGAGATTGTTTTTTTACCGTGGCTTTCAGCGTCAAGAATAAACTCTGAAACAGTCAAAATGTCCTAAAACTGAACATTTAGAGTTCTGTGACAACCAGACATGCTGAGGAAATTTGCGTAATATGATTAAAAAAAAGCTTCTAAATGAACCTGGTGGCAAGACTGCTTTTCGAAAACAGGAGGCTCACAGATACTGTATGTCTGCATGTTCCACTGATACAAGAAGAGGTTTGCAGACCACATTTTCTTATCAGGTTTTATTGACTTTTTTTTTACTGAGATACATGTGCAGCAGGAAGCAGGAAATTGTGCAAAGTAGAGTCAGATAAAGCTCATAGAAAGACTTTTTTTTGCCAAACAGAAAACAAACAAGATGTTTTCAGTTTTTGAAGGTCTCAATAATAGCATCATGTTTAAACTCTTTAAACTCATGAAAAGCTGCAGCAGAGAGAGAGCGCACTAGGTTCCTGCGAATCCTTAAGAAGTCTAAAAGATTGAATTGATTTATCTAAAAATAAAGCCTGACTTGGCATTAAAATATATTAAATCAATCTTTCAAACATCTTAAAAATGCTAACAAATATAATTTATGAATTGTTTTTGTCTGACGTTCAGTGTAAAGTCTGAAAATAATTGGTTTGGGCAGCACGGTGGTGCAGTGTTTAGCATTGTTACCTCACAGCAAGAGGATTCCTGAGGTGGGGGGTTCAAACCCAGGGTGGGGGTGGCCTTTTGTATGGACTTTGCATGTTCTTCCCGGGCCTCCTCCCACCATTCAAAGACATGCAGGTTAATTGGTGACTCTAAATTGGCCGTAGGTGTGAATGTGTGTGTGAGTGGTTGTCTGTCTCTATGTGTCAGTCCTGTGATAGTCTGGCGTCCTGTCCAAAATGTACCCCACCTCTCTCCCACTGTAAGCTGAGATAGGCTCCAGCCCCCCCACGAACCCAAACAGGATAAGCTGTTACAGAAAATGAATGAATGGTTACATCTTTTTTAATAGAATTGACTGAATGCCTCTCATGTTAACATCACAAACATCAGGACAGCGGAACCTGGGATGCTCAGAGTAGAGGAACCATTGTCTGTGAGCTGGCTCTCACTGGACCCTGGACGGCATAAGAAATTCAACGAAATTTTGCCATCTAACCAAGATTTTTGCAACATGGCTGAAACCGGTACAAGGCCATGCTTACGAGGCGCAGTGTATTTTATACAAAACGCGTTTTAAACTCGGCACAATGGGAATTGAGGCAGTGGAATCCCATTTGCAGATTAAGACACACAAAATTGCCAAGAAAACACAGTTCTGTTCTACCCTTAAGTCGTGTTTTATGTCGCAGTAAACATTTGGGCAAAATTGTCCCTAACCTAAAGTAAGTGATGTCAGTTCATGTTGAATTTTGGTTATTTAAAATCAGTCTAAAATTTAGGTCTGAATGGCATTTGAAAAAGTCTTGAAGGTAACTTGTCATTAGTTTAGGGACGTTGGAGCACTTTAATTGTGACTCAATAGCAGTGACATGACAGTTCTGTAAGTGCAGTGTACATTTTATCATAAGCAGGCTGAGCAACATTTGAATTGAACAATTGAAACATTTATTAAATACAATTTAACAGTGCAAATGTAAACAGCTTGTATTTAGTGTGTTTGTAATATTCATACTGTAGACTGGCAGCGAGGGCACTGTAGAAGTGTGGCAGAGTGCTACAGTCAGTTCCTGCTTATCCTCTTTTGTATCTTGAGTGTGACTCATGTCAAAGATATGAGATGGAGTCATGTTTTGCATTTCCTATGAATATGGAAACACAAATTTGAATGTCTTTGGGTTATTTTGTATGTACGTGTGCAAACACTGTGGAGTGGGTAAGAAAGCAGCCATGTGTGCCAAAATGTAGCCTGCTCAGAAACTTACAGCGTGCATGATAATAACAGGGTAAGCTTTTAATGCTGATGATCACACTTAAAGGAATACTTCACATGGACATTTGTATATCAGTTATTTACCGCATGCTACTGTGAATTTGTAAAGACAACAGTATTTTTCTCACATGCCTCCACAGTGGAAGAGAAAAAGGGCAAACATTCCTCATGAATTGAAGTAAACAGAGACTGTGTTTAACAAAAGCAAAACTATATCAAAACATCCATTCACAAACTGACACAGCTCCTGCAGTATGACTAAGTCTCATTGAGCCAAACATTCCGATTTAAAAACATCAGTACAAACAATCTCTTAAAGGCCAAGTAGCGTGCGTTTGAACTCTGCTCAAGTGGAGCTCATACGCACATGCATGCTAAGGCTCTCTCAGGGCACGCTACTTGTAGGCGGGAGGGTTTTCCATTGTAATGCATGTTTTTGGAAAGTACTAAGCATACAACTGGATGAATAAGACTTGGACATTTGTCACTGTTTGCACCTAGTTGACAGTTTAGTAGGCACAAAACTGTGTCAGGAAGGTTTCGAGTCAACTTTGTGATGGTTTTGAAGGTTAAAGTGTTTGTGGTAATGTTAACTTGATAAGTGTTTCAGTTTACAGTTTATATATATTATATAGTCACGTGTATATATTTAAGCAATATCACACAAAAAGGAGTGATGTTATACTCGTATATCGTCACGGCTGTGATTCGGTAATAGGCACAAGGCCACAGGCTGAGTGCCGAAGACAATCACAGCCGTGACGATATACGAGTATAACATCACGAGCTCGAGTGTGATATTGCTTTTATACAACAGTTCAACAGTTAAATAAGCAAGGCTGATTAAGAAATGTTGAAAAATGAGGACAAAATAGATAATTTAAGCATTTTATTTGTCTTCCGCCAACAAAAATAGGTCCCTCAGGACTCCGTTGTCACCGTTGCTATGTAATGCAGACATGGTGCGCCAGGCACTTACTCTTTATAAACATTTATCTGCACGTTTCCATTAATTGTGCAGCTGGTGAAATAAGTCTCTGGTGACTGCATGGTGGACTGTTGCTTCACAGGCACAGCTGACTCTGCCTTCTGATCTGACAGTATGTTGCTTCATCGTTTTCTGCTCTCCATGGATGGCTTCCAGTAGCTTTTTAACAAGCTCTCAGACCGGCAAGACAAAAGGTATATTTAGGGCCGGACTCCTAATTAGAAGACTAACTTTACACATAGGCTATGTTAAAACAACATCATACCTGTGCCCACTCACTGTCATGATCTCCCTCGCTTCAAGTCCCGCATCTGACAGCTTCTGTATGGCAGTCGCCCTGAGGCTGTGATTGGTGTAGATAGCTGTTGTCCCCGCCTCTTTACACATCTTCAGCAGCATCTGTGCAAGTGAGTTTATTCCCAGCGGAGCTTGAACAGCGGTTCAATATCTCAGGTTGTCCGCTGTTGTCCATTTACAGATCAAAAGTGCTGGCAGTGCCTTAGCGATAGTGTTCTACCACTACTGTTTTAAGATATCTTTGAATATGACAACAATAATTCATTGTTTTTTCCAAAGAGCTGTATACTGGTCAGAGTGAAAGCCTCTGAAGCAGCATGTAGTAGACTACTCATTAGCCCCTTTTACACTGCCTCTTTAAGGCAAGAATTTCACGCCATCATGCCACCTCGCCAATCTGTATAAAAGGTACAATTGTGGAATGGGGGAAGGAGTTGTTCCCCCTCTGAACTGGAAAAGGGGGTCGTAACAGGGCCAAAACAATGTCTCTATAAATGGGACTACCGACTAGACCAAATCATGGGCAGCATGAATGTGACAGTTTGATGACATGTTATGTGTGTGACCCGCCACGCGAGATTTAAAAAGTAGCTGTTATCAGTTAGCGACTATCTCAAAGAAGAGGAACAGCTGCCAAAAATGTCCACTAATTGGGAAAACAATGAGGTAATGAGGTCTGGGGGAAGAGAATGAAATTAGCCACCACATAGCAGAGACAGTAAATGATAGTTATTACCACATTATACCATAGGGGCTGTGACTCAGAGAGCAGGTTGTCGGCTAATGGGAAGGTCAGGGTTCAATCCACGGCTCATCCAGCCCCTATGTTGACCAGAAACCAGAAAAGCGCTATACAAGAGCAGTCCATTTATCATTATTTGTTTATAAAGCACTGCCGACGCTGTTGTGTTAAATGTCACGACCATCACCCCTCTACTGATTCCCCGATGCTTGGAAGCTCTCTAAAATCACACACTGGAGTGTAATGATGCCGCTGTCATTGGGTTCTGTATAAAAATGCAAAAGTGGCGGGGCATTGGTGGCTTAGTGGATAGAGCAGACGCCCCATATACAAGGCTGTTGTTGCAGCGGCCCGGGTTCGAATCCAGCCTGTGGCCCTTTGCTGCGTGTCATCCCCCCCCTCTCTCTCTCCCCCCTTCACACTTACCTGTACTGTCCAATAAAGGCAAAATGCCCTAAAAATATCTGTTAAAAAAATTTAAAAAAATGCAAAAGCGGCATGGAGAAGGGACTTTGTAGCGGCCTTGTAGCGCCATCCCTGTGAAAAAGGTCTATTACTTAACTTGCTTCTGAAACCTGGCACCTCGTAGCCTTCACAAGCGTCTAAATATTAAGTGTGCCAAGTCATCCAGTGGGCCGGATTGGACCCTCTGGTCGGCCACCTCTGGCCCGCTGGCTGTATGTTCGATCAGTGGTGTATGGTAGCGAAGACGGTCCCCTGTGCAAGATTTTGCGTCCAAGCTAGCTACAACAACATCAGCATACATATTACCCAGCAATCATCAGGCCAAACCATTCAAATAAAATAAGAATGGAAATATTTCTATGTAATTTATTTGTGGTTTAATAGTTTATGTAAACATATAATTTTATTGTAGAATAGATTGCAATAGACTCTTTAACAAAAAAAAAAAAACGACAATATATAATGACGACGTGTAGCAGTTGCCCCCCTTTTTCAATTTAACACTAGTTCTTCTTTGAACATAGATGTATTTCTCAGAATCTGAATGAGCCACAAGAGCCTGTTCTCTGGCCAACACACTGTTGAAGGACCTGCTCTCTCTACGGGCTCCCCCGTCCCATGGGCCCCAGCGCAACCACACCGCCTGCACTGTCTATATTTACACCCCTGTGTTCGACACCCCTGAACCGCTTCCTCCACAGACGACCACAAAGTTGAGCACCTCTCTAAAACTGTTTCAACCTGATAAACAAAACGACAAACGAGTGTCTAATCCAATTACTCTTAATACAAGAGAAATATATCAAAGGACAGTAAGATTAGATAAGATTTTCTTTTTAAACTTGAGCACCATGTGTCTCATTTTCACATGTGAAGTGATCATCATTTCTATCTCCTCTTACTTTCAGCCGTGAGGCAACATGTTCCCTGGCTGAGGCTCTCCAGCTTGTGGCAGCAGTGCCATCTCCTGCTGAGCTAAGCACAGAGCATATTAGCAGCCTGTCATGCTGCTGCTGAGCGGATTACACCTCATATTTACTGTACATGACTGTCGTGACCCGGCACAGACAGATAGACAGACAGACGGCTTATATGCAGAGCTGGAAAAAGATGCTACGCACTCTTAACACTGGAGCTCTGGTGTAACAGTCTGTTTATGTGAGATTAATGCTGGTGATGATGCACGTTGCAGAAAGTCAGCTTCATGTATGAAATAATAACACCACACTACAGCTGTTAGGGTGCAGGAAAACCATGTCAAATATAACTTCACACCCATATGCACGGTTTTTAAATGCAATGCGAGCACAATATGTGCAGGAAAATGAGACTGAGACACCAGAAAATGGGTTAAAAATCAGTTTGGGCTCCGTGTTTAGACGCCTGCAGCACCCAGAAGTGAACAGCAGGCGACCCGGAAGGTTTGAAGTCCGACTGAGAGCAGGCAGAAAGAAGAGTCTATCCTTTATAAAAAAATATTTCTCCCCTCGCTGGTTCAGGTATGTTGCTCCGCTCGATGCAAATATCTCTGCCTCCTTTTTCTCCTTTCTCTCTCTCTCTCTCTCTCTCTCACACACAGCCTCTCCTTGTGTCGCTTCGTCACCGTTTCTGTTTAAGTCATGCAAAAGTTGCATGTAAAAAAAAGAAGAGCATTTGCAGCGCAGCGATGATAAAGACTGATTTCTTTTCTTCTGCCGTGCAAAATAAAAGCTTCCACCAGGCGCTTGTATTTACATCGATATTTGGGTTTTTATGGTCGAGCAGCTGCAGAGCATTGAAAGGCATGATGATTGTTGTAGGAAGTGTCAGGCTCTTTTTTTCCTCCTCCTCAAGCCGGGCTATTCAAACCTGCAAATCAAAGTAAACAATCATTCGTACGCTTAATGCAAATACGCCACATCCCGACGCATCGCCACGGCGTTTCATTACATGTGGGGAATTACCTCCTTATAATATTCGGATCTGCAGAATATGGCGTCCAGTGCTTATAAAAATAAGACAGGGCTGCCATTTTTGTTTTCCTTTTGTCTGAAATTTTTTAATAAACTGTCTGAGAATGTGGGAGAGGCGGCGGACGGAGCGAGGCGCTGCGGAGGATCGTTTCTCTGTGGAGGAGGAGATGCTCTCCTTTCCAGCTGCTCAGGTTTTAACATTTTAAACGTCAGATTCTCTATTTCTTTTTCTGCTTTTGCACGGAGGAATAATTCAGCACAGCAGGTACCAACAAAAAGGACACAAAAGTTAACCCTAACTTTAGTTTCAGAGATTGACTTGTGTTTTTCTCTGAAGAGCTGATCTCGGTTTCTGTTTTGTTGCACTGATGCTGCTTTTGAAGATGAAATACTGAGATACAGAAATAGTTTTCTGTGCAACCCGCAGGTCATTGTGGTCACACTTGACTACTGACCATCTGGATTATTATAGCTCCTACATGTAAGAGAGCATAGATGTAATTATACTAACAGATAAAGAATTAACAGCATGTGGTCTGAGTGAGTCTTATATCACTCTCCAATACCCTTCACAAGGGTTTATAAGTTGCAACATGTGGCTTTATTCATTAATAAATGATAAACTAATGCTTTGCAGATCAGCTATAAGCTATTAAAAAGATAGTTTGGGATGCCTCTGACTGAGAGTCATCTTTAAAGCAGGTAAACATGTTGCTAATCCATTAACTAATTCTCATGGATTTTGCACTTTATAAAAGGCAATCAAGTCTCCAGTTATAAATGTTAATAACTCAATATTTAAGTTTTTTTGAGTCAATCAGGTCTGTATTTGTTTGCATAAGTAGATGGATTGTTGTCCAAGAGATTTTTCACAACCTGACAACCTAAAACTGGATCTATAAAACATTAGTAAATGATTTATGAACTATTAGTTACAAATTACAACCCTTCATAAAGGCTGATTTATTAGAAAGTATCATAACTTCCACAGTGCAGCAGATTATTACTTTGTAATGATGACAACTATTTCTGAATCTCAGTGTTTCAGCTAGTTTTCGGTGCTGCCTGCAGGTCATTGTGGTCACACTTGACTGCTGCTATGTGGATTATTATAGGACCTACATGTAAGAAAGCATAGATATAGATTCACCTGCTTATGTAATAATAATAACAGCATGTGGTCTGAGAGAGTCACATTATGATTAACTATAGATCAGTTAAGCTATTAAAAATATATTTTGGGTTGCGTCTGACTGATAGTCATCTTTAAAGGTACCTAATAAAGCAGTTAAACATTTTTGAGGCCTGTATGTGTATGCCTGTGCGGATGGATTTTTGTCCAAGAGATTTTTCACAACCTAACAACCTAAAACTGGATCTATAAAACATTAGTAAATGATTTATTAACCATGAGTTACAAATTACAACCGTTTATAAAGGCTGACTTCTTTGAAAGTATCATTACTTCCACAGTGCAGCAGATTATTACTTTGTAATGATGGAAACTTCTGTAAATATGGAGCAAAACTCTGATGTACTGATTCAGTAAATGTGTTGAACCAGAAACATCAGTGAGGCTGCAGGAAAAGCCTCAAGGTGGCTGTGGATCAAGAGGGCAGATCCATGATGTCGCGCGCTGCTCGGACACAAGCCGGGGACCGATCACCCCCGGCTGGGTCGCCCAGGTGAGGGTGTCTGATGATCTAAGACCTGAAACACCCTGCGATCGTGGGTTCATCTGGTGATGTGCCCCAAGCCGCATCTAGGTGTTTAAAATAATAAATAACTTTAATGAAAGAGAGTTGATCCAAAGAAAATTAGTTGGTGACTGAGAATGATTTGATAGTTTAAGTTATTTTTGAACAAAAATCTTTTCTTTCAGCTAGAGGTGCCATGATAAACAGGTATTGACGCTAACCAGGGTGTTTAAAAAATAAAATATTGTCATCATGTTAGTAATATACATGAGATACTATAGTGTAAATAATCCAGCACCTCTTAAAGCATTTCCATTTCTTTCCATTCTCGCTTTGTCTCCGTCCCCCAACACCATCTGGTGTACAATTTTGTACAGTTATGGTGACAGACTCTGTCCACACGTCCCTACACTCGTATTTTGACTTTTTTTTTTTGCCTAAAAAGAGACAAAATGCACAATAAACAAAGCTAAAGATGAATTTTACAGACAGCATTTTCGATTGATGTAATAATTTTGTTATTGTGAACTCTTTTGGCCACGATAATCATACTTCCAACTTCTTATTTGTGAAGAATAAACCGAAAACTTTTGGGTTTTAGTCTGTTGGTCAGACGAAACAACTCACTGGAACACATCACCTCGAGCTTGTGGAAATTAAAACGGCCATTTTCCACTGTTTTCTGAAATTTTATGGACAAGATACGTAACCTACTAATCAAGAAAGTAATCTGCAGATTAATCGACAGTGAAAATAAGTGTTACTTGCAGCGCTGAAGAGCAGTTTGAAGGATGCTTCTTACAAGATATTGAGCTCATTTTAATGCACCTGCATGTGAAAGACTATATGTTCAAGTCTCTTTTTCTTTATACTCTAATAATAATGTAAATATTAAGGCTGCATAAAATCTCAGCTGCATACGTGCAAAAAATAACACTCTCCTGACACAGGTAGCCGTAGAGTAAGTCCAAAAGCAGAGCAGTCTAGGCCTGACTCTACAGGCTGATTGGAAGAACTCTATATGTGGTCATACACAAGCAACACACAGGAACTGTGAGTTATATACAGTGCCTCCCTGACATTATATATAATATATATAATATGTTATCTGTGAATTATGACATTTCAAAAAGTGACACCAAGATGTCCAGCCGCTGTCAAACTCCTGAGCCTGCTCCCCTGAGGCAGAAAGCCTCCAGGAAGTGAAACTGATCCCCACTGGCATCATTAGAGAAATATTTTGTGGGGTTTACTGTACGCTCGTACCCCTGAACGTATCGTTTTTGTTTCTCTTGGCTCGCGGATATGGACTGTGTTATGCCTCTGCTAAGCCAAACAGACTTAGGAATGGTGAAGTGTGCCAAAACACGCAATGCAAAATGTTTTAAAAAAAGAAACTTCATACGAGGTTGAGAAGAGAAGCTATGGAAAGAAAAACCTTCAGATCAAAACTTCAGCAGTAGCAGCTCTCTCTGTCGTCAGAAAGTGAGAAGCTTTCTGTGCATGTGGCCAAACGCAGTGTGGAAAAGCATTGATCTTAATTGCAGCCCAGAAAAGCAAATATTAAAAAGAGAATATTCATGCTATTATTTCTTCATTAAAAAACACAGTGTCCCTTACAAATCAGTGTGAGCTCTGTGCAGCATCCCTATTTTATTCTTTCCATGTTCATCATATTCAGGTAGATTACTGACCTCTTGGCTTTCGGCTACGTCATTCAGGTCTCGCTCTGCTCTGAGGTGAGGCTGTGCAAACATCTCCAGTTTCCCATCAGACTCCTAACGTGTGAGGGCCCCCTGTGCAGAGGAGGAGACAGACAGCAACAGATTAGGATCTGAGCCACATCGCTGTTAACGTTTTCTGTTTTCTCTGATAACCGTTTTTGGGAAGTTCCCTAACCAGTTGTTGTAATCATGTGAGAGTCTATCTCTCAGGCAGCATGTCCATCTCAAAGTCTTGTGGTTAGAAATCCCAAGAAAAAGATGCATCACTCACTTTAACGTCCTCCAGAATCATCCTCTCCTCTATCTCTGATGAAGCACCGGGTAAAGATACATGGTCTGCTCTTGCACTTTAGGGAAAGGAGGAGAACTAATACAGAAAGTCTTTGAAAGTCCACTATCACAAGACTGGGAGAAGCTATCTCAAATTATCATGTCGAACAGTCAGCTGCTGTTTGGGTGGAGTTTTCAACCACTGTTTTCTACACTAACAATAGATCTTCACATCAACTGAGGATAAACAGAACAAACCAAGATGATTCACAATTTCCTCTTATCTTTGCCTCTTTGTGTGTAAATCATAATTCTGATATTTGAGAATTAAAGCAAAACAAAAAAATACTCACCTATTCAAGCAGTGATGAGGGGTCACAAGAAAACAGCTTCATTTAAAGGGGTCCCCAGCCAAAAAGGTCGGGAAGTGTTATTTTACCATGTACTTGATACGTGTTTCACTGATGGACAGAGAAGCTGCACTCACCTTGTTTATGACCCTTGTGTTTTTATTTCAGGATGGCTGAACCTCGCTTTAACAATCCCTATTTTTGGCCTCCACCTCCCGCTATGCCCGGCCAGGTGAGTGACTCTGGTATTCGCTCTTGTTTAAGTGCATGTTTACCTCAAGCAATAAAATCGCTATGCTGTCAATTTACTGTGTTGTTTTTTAAAGTGATTTTAAATAATGCACTGAAATTGAATGGTGTGTTGGGAAAAACATTTCAGTTAGATGAGAAGATTGATACTACTCTGTCATCTGTACAGTAAAAAGCTACAGCCAGCGGCCAAAGGTCTAGGATGTTTTTTTCTGTACAAAAGCTGACATTTAAAAATGACAATTGGCATATTTAATTTGTATATTTAACATCATTAATTAATCTTCTTAACAAATATGGTGCCAGTACCCTTAAAGTGATACTCATACCAACAGAGTGCTTTATTTGATACTGTACCTATTTTTCTACATCATTCGATACCTGTCATGTACATAAAAGCATTCAGTTGTGTAAAAAATGCAGCCAGATGCCACAGGAGTGTAGTACAGCCATACTTTCAAATGTTTTGGTGGCATCTCGGCATATGCCAAAAGATGGCCTTCCTGCACGGCGAAAAGATGCAAAGCAAAAGAGTGAGTGTTATTCTCCACACATTTGGCTTTTTACAGGAAACAACAATTTCAGACTGCATTTCATTTGTTTTATTTTTAAGGGCAATGCACATTTAGTTTAGTTTAGTTTGGTCATTTTCCAAAATATGAAACACAAATATACTAGTAGGTAGACAATACATAAACATCAAATTAATGCAAGATGTTTTGAAACCAATAAAAGGATAAAATCCACAGGACAAAGACAGCATAAAGACATAAAGACAGCATTAAGTACAACAAACAGAAATTCCCAAGACAGAACAGAAGCCCTGCAAAGCAACACGCAACAGCAGAGCATCAGTACGATACAATAACACAACAACAAACAGCATGTTAGCACAAACAGACATACATGCAACATGAAGCACCAACACACAGATTAGCATTACATTCAGACATGCAGAGCAGCATAGAAAGTAAATACAGATAAAATACAATAGTCACAATGTGGATCTTAATAAAATGTTAATAAGATGTAACCCCTTTGTAATCACCAACATTTTGACATGTAACTAGTTACTCCCCAACACTAATCGGCACACTGAACTGCCATTTCGGTCAATTACACTGCGCACAGCACATCACCACAGCAGTTGTATCAAGTACAGATACCCAGCCCTATTTTTAGCCTTCTGTTTTTGCATGGATTGAACAAAGGAGCATTTAGTGTACTTTAGATATGCTGGTAGCCAGGTGGATTTTCACCTGTGGACAGCCAGGCTAGGTGTTTCCCCCTGTTTCCAGTCTTTGTGCTAAGCTAAGCTAAGCTGCTGGCTGTAGCCACATAGTTAGCCTACAGGCATTAAATCTTCTCATCGAAATGTCAGCAAAACATGAATAAGCGTATTTTGTCAGAATATCAAACTGGTCCTTTAAAAAAGTGGTTCTCAACCTGGGGTTCAGGATACCCGGGGGGGGGTCCTGAGTTAATCTGAGGGGTCACCAGATGATTAAAGGGATACATTGAAACAATCCGTCAGTCTGAAACAATCTTGTCTCTAATTGTAGTTTTTCTTATTCTTGTGAAATTCTGGATGATATCAAATTTGGCCTTAAATCAGACAAGTTAAGAGTCCATAACCTGTGATGGGAGGTTACAAGTTGACATTGCTTCATTTTAAGGGGTCACAAGGCCATAAGGTTGGGAACCACTGGTTTAATGCATTTCCTGTTGAGACATCAAGTTTTGGGTACAATGTCACATGTCAGCCTCTAGAGGGAACCATCGTCTCATAAAGTGACCCTGACTAAACTGATGGCTGTTCTCTTGTCACAAATGTTGTTTCCTGGCTGTCAGCTGGATAACCTAGTCTTGATCAATAAAATCAAGGAGCAGCTGATGGCAGAGAAGATCAGACCGCCACATCTGCCTGCTGCCTCAGCCCCTTCTCAACAGCCCTTACTGGCTTCCCCCATCCAGGCGGATGGCAGCCAGCAAGGGATGTCCAAAGCTCACCAGATGCCGGTTCTCCACAGCCACAGCCCGTCTCAGCCTGATATCGCCCTGCACGCCCGCCCCGCCTCCAGCTCAGTCACAGGTAGTCCTCACCTGCGTCCTCAGTCCTCACTTTTTACTGGATTAATATCACTGCTGCATTAATGTGTCTGTTACAGAACTGCATCATATTCTATGAGATCAGTATATGTTTGAAGCGTTGCTGTCCTATGAGAACCACATATCTCTAAATAGTTGTCATGGTGTCAGAAAACGGCAGTTATCTTTGTCATGATGCATTTTTCTGCAGATCCAAGAGGGTTTTTAAGGAGTTTATTCAGATTAATAAGTAGTAGTAGAGCACTTCTGATCAAAAGTATTACAGGTTCAATAATAATACACAGGCCTGCTGAACTTTTTCTGCGTACATCTAAGACTGAAACTATTAAAACCAGAGGTTTTGTGGTGCTGCAGCCCATCTTGAAGGGCTGCAGGACATTTTGCCAATAACCAGATGTTGCTGTGTTTGTTGTGTTTGAAGCCCCAAAGCTTCATAAGGTTTTATTCAGGGTTCCAACAACAAAAAAAGGATGCCCCATGCCTTTGAACAACCAATGAAATCAAAGTGTGCATTGGTGCTCTGTGTGACAATTGAAAGCCCCAAGCTGCTCGTGTTAATGGCTGAATCTCAAAAATGCGGCACACTTTGAAATATTAGTGGGGCATATGTATGGAAACTTTTCATGGCCCTTCATGTCACAAGAGTACTTGTCAGTCAATATTCAAACACATCAGATCCAAACTCTGTTCACACATAATTCCAGCTAGCAGGTATACTCGGAGGGTGCGACGGAACCCAGGGAGAAAATGAAGAAACGTACGTTATGGTAAACAAAACGTCAAGCATTGACACTTCCTCTACGTTATGCTAATTACATTATACACAATTAAATTCCATGACATTTTCAAAACATGTAAGGTTTTTTTTTAATTCCATGACTTTTGCAGGCCTTGAAAATTAGATTGAGAAATTCCATGACTTTTTTCAGGTGTTCCATGACCGTGGGAACCCGGTTTATTTGCCCATCCCTACTGATATGCAAGAAATGTGTCCACCCTGTGTCATTAGAGTTGGTTCAGCTTTCTCTCAGGGCCCTCTTTAACAACTCAACAGATATGCTTAATATTGTTTTATCCCCTTGATACGTATTCATGCTTAACAGTTTTATGCTTATAAACATGATTTTGAACTCATGAAGTCTGCTACAGAAAGTTACACAGTGTTTGGGGTCTCTGAATCATGGATAAATACAATAAGCGTCTGGGTGCACCAGTAGCCGAGAGTCTTAAGTGCTGCTGACCATGAACCACAATGTCCCTATAGCATGTACAGCAGAACCAACAACACGGAAATAAGGCCTATGTCAACAGAACACTGTGGTTTATATTTCTGTTTGATGACCTAAATAAACATTTGTTCAGTGTCTTCATACCGGGTGTAAAGTGTCGTTAATAAGACACCCACGTGTTTTTTAAATGTGAATTTTTCTGCACATTTGCCAGGTCGTATTCTGGGGGATGTAAACTTGAATCTGGACGATAAGGCAGCTATAAAAGCCAGAGGATTATGGGAAGACTGGCATCTGCGTCAACTGATAGACCATCCCTCTAGGACAAACCATGTCTCAGGTAACCACAGCTGGTACTTCCTGTTTCTGTAGGAGCAAAGATCATTGTCCTGCTCGGGTCTGCAGTTTATGAGTTTCATTCACTTCTCTGAGCTGTAAGTATGAGTAGGAGAAAGACTGAGAATAATGTAACTTTAAAGGGGAAGTTCTGTACTTTGTAACCTGGACCTTGTACCTGTGTTTGTATCTAAGTGACTAATGGGAACAACAGATTTTTGAAACCAGTATTACATGAGAGTTCTGCAGCTGTGAAACACCCTGCAATGTAAACACACAGGGCACATTTGTGCCATTAATTCACATTCAGTAAAAGTGTTTGTTCTTGTCACTGACAGGCTCAGATTGTTATTCTAAGTGTCTGACAACTTATAGAAAGGATCCATAAAGAAACCGCCCCGAAATCACAATTGTCAAACACACCAGACTAATAATAAATAAGCAATTTTATTATTGTAAAACACACTTAATTCAAAGATGACAGAAAATAAAACTCTCAGTTCATCTCTCCTGTGTTACAACATTCACTAACTCCCAGCTGATTTAATTAAACCTTTAATTGGCCCAGTTAGATGTGAAAATATGCTGGCTCCATACACACTACAGCACTGTTTATTCAAATGGAGTCTGTTGGGTTTGGCAGTGCTGATTTTGGGGCCGTTTATGTTTTAACAAAAAGGATTTCACTTCTTAAGAAAAGGTCTATCTCTGTGGGGATCCTTTCCATAATGTTGACACTGAGAATTACATTCTGAGTCTGCCAGTGTCAAAAACCAGTACTTTTAGTGGACGTAAAGTGACGGTGCACAAGTGAGTGGTTACACTGGAGCATGTCTTGAGGTTTCACTCAATACTGGACCAGTTTCAAAAAATGTTGTTCCCATTAGTCACTTAGACACAAAGACAGTGGGGAAATAGGGTCCAGGTTGAAAAATGCTGAACTTTCCCTTTAAGTCGCTTTGGAAACACTGTCACAGGAAGGTGTCAGCATTTTACAACCATCCCACCTGTGTCTGTTATATCGCTGTTGATAAGTTGTTAGAGTTTGTCTTTGTTTCCACAACTGTCGCTCTTGACATATGAATTGGCAGTTTGATAATAACTTATTTCCTTGTCCTGGTCTTCCAGGTGTGGCACTGGCATCCAGAACAGGCAACCTCAACACCTCAGAGATCATCACCCCAACCACGCCCACCTCAAGCAGCCACAGCCGGCTGGGCGGAGCCCCCACACCTCACCTCATCTCAGAGTTAGCTTGCAGCCAAGGGATGGAGCCCGGGAAAAACAACGGGGGACTTGTGGGACTCCTCGGCCCTCCTCCAAAGGAGGAACGGGGACGTAAGAGGATCAAAGCAGAGAATGGGTCATCTCTTCTGGTGGTGCCCTACCCAATCCTAGCCTCAGGCAACGACCAATCCTGTGTCACCATTACTGCCAAAGAGGGAAAAACCTACAGGTAAGAAAGGACTTTTTTATGCGTAGATAGATGCATAAATAACTGAGGTAGCGTGCCTCTGACTCACGACTCACTAGTTTGAATCATTATAATTCCTTTAGATATAGCATGTTTCAAATAAAAGGAGAAATATAGTAACTTGCATGATAATGGTTAAATCATTAATATAGAATATATTAAGATAGAATTTAACTTAATGTTCATCAGGTTGAAAAATTGATTTGATTCACCCAAACATAAAAACAGCCAAAAATTATGTCATATACAGAACAAGTAGGGCAACAGAACAAAGTTCGCAAAAGTGAAAAATAGAAATAACATACCAAACTAGCAGGGCACTTGGAGAGCACAGAGCTCTGCCAAGGTCAAATGCCCAATCTAACAATGTTACTGAAAGTGAGAGATACTTGTGTGTCTGCCCTAGATTCAGATCTAGTCCAAAATTGAATGGGTTCTTTCTTGGCCCATGCTACCACCAAGTTTCAGGAAAATCGGTTTAGTAGTTTTTCTGTAATCCTGCTGACAAAGAGACAAACAAACTAACACAAACATAACTGAAAACATAACCACAGTCCGTGACGATACTTGGCAGCATTTGATGCAACGATACATAACGTCCATGGTGCTCATTTGAATTTAGAACAAGGGAGCCAGTCAATGGTATCAAATGCCTTCGTCATCCAGAAACTGTCTACACACTCTGGCCACATGAGGCCGGGCATTATCCTGCACCAGGAGGAACCCAGGGCCCACTGCACCAGCAAAAGGTCTGACAGTCACTCTGAGGATATAATCCTGGTACCTATCAGCAGTCAGGGTACTGTTGGCTATGATATGTAGGTCTGTGCGACCCTCCAAGGATATGCTTCCTAGACCATCACTGACCCACCGCCAAACCGGTCATGCTGGATGATGTTACAGGCAGCATAACATTTACCACAGTGTCTCCAGACTCTTTCACGCCTGTCACATGTGCTCAGTGTGAACCTGCTCTCATCTGTGAAGAGAACAGGGCGCGAATGGCGTATCTGCCAATTCTGGTGTTCTCTGCACGGTGCTGGACTGTGAGCACAGGTCCAACTAGAGGATGTCAGGCCCTTATGCCACCCTCATGGAGTCTGTTTCTGACAGTTTGGTCAGAAACATGCACACCAGTAGCCTGCTGGAGGTCATTCTGTAGGGCTCTGGCAGTGCTCCTCCTGTTCCTCCTCACTCAAAGGAGCAGATATCGGTCCTGCTGCTGGGTTGATGGCCTTCTATGGCCCTGTCCAGCTCTCCTCTGGTAACAGCCGGTTTCCTGGTATCTCCTCCATGCTCTTGAGACTGTGCTGGGAGACACAGCAAACCTTCTTTCGACCGCGTGCAACCTGATTGGGCTACATGTACCGTCTCATGCTACCTGTAGTGACAAGGACACTAGCTGAACACAAAACGAGAGAAGACTCAGTCAGGAAGGATAAGGAGAGAGTATGTGACCACCACATGTAAAACCATTCCCATTTGGGGGTTGTCTTGCTTTTGCCTCTCCATTGCACCTGCTGTCAGTTTCACTTGCACCCAATCAGGTGAAACTGATTCACAATCATTTGTGATTCCTGAATGGACAGATTGATATCCCTGAAGTTTAACTGACTTGGTGTTACACTGTGACGATTAAGTGTTCCCTTAATTTATTTGAGCAATGTATATACACCATATATATGCAGTATGTGTGCTCTGTGCATGTCCTTTATGTGTGTCCTCTGTCTGTGTCCCTTTGTTCTTGATACAGGTGTAAAGTTTGTCCGCTGACCTTCTTCTCCAAGTCAGACATGCAGATCCACTCGAAAACGCACACAGAGGCGAAGGCTCACAAGTGTCCTCACTGCACGAAGTCCTTTGCAAATGCATCGTACCTGGCCCAGCACCTGCGCATACACTTGGGTATCAAACCTTACCGCTGCTCCTACTGCGAGAAATGCTTTCGCCAGCTCTCCCATCTTCAGCAGCACACCAGGTCTGATCTCATCACATCGTGTTTGCCATTTTATTGCTATCGACCAGAGATACGAGCATCTATCTACCTGGGCATCTGTCTGTTGTGCAGCATCAGTAACATACTTAATATTCTTAGTTGGAGCAAAAAAGATTTATGTCAAAAAAATTATGTTAAAAAAAGATAATGTTGTAAACACTGCAAAGAAAATGGTAAAAATGTTGGAAATTATTGCGTCACTCATAACTACTATAAGTGAGTAAATGTAAACCCAAACTTGATATATATTTTTTGTAATTGTGGTGAACTGACCCTTTAAAACAACTAGTAGCTGAAGGAGCTGATGTTTCAGGTTGTTGTGTCCAGTCTGGTGAGTTAGAGAGGAGCACGCAGAGTCTAGAGGAGGGTTAGAGGTGCTCTAGTTATCACAGCGACTCCTTTGTGCTCATTGTTTACTCTCTGCTGGCCAGCCTTTGTTGCTCTGCGCACATGCATCTGAGTGAACCAACATTAACCTCACTTCAAGTAGTATTAAACATGATACAGTCGAAACAAACCACAAACAGGAAGTGTATATTTAAGGAGGAGATTCATCTAGTTTTGGTTTTTGTGAGAATTCTGCACAAGAAAGCTACTTTTTCTAGCTGTTGTGAGTCGTTATTGTTACTGTATGTGTTTGTGTTTTTGCAGCTTCCTGTCTGATCTGTTTCAGTTGCCTAATGTTTGCATCATTTTTCCTGTCTTAGAATCCACACAGGTGATCGGCCGTACAAATGCACCCATCCAGGATGTGAAAAAGCTTTTACTCAGCTATCTAATCTGCAGGTAAACATTGACTCCCTCCACACACCCCTGCCGCTGCTACCTGTTTAATCGCCTTGATCCTCCCCTCCTTAAACTGCGATGCAGTGCCCTTTGCAGTGCTGCGTGAAGGTGAATGTTTTTTCTGTATGTTTTTCTCCCCTGCTGAAGTCTCACCAGAGGCAGCACAACAAAGACAAGCCCTTCAAATGTTCCAACTGTTTTCGTGCCTACTCAGACTCTGCCTCGCTGCAGATTCACCTGTCCGCACACGCCATCAAAAACGCCAAGGCCTACTGCTGCAGCATGTGCGGCCGGGCGTACACGTCGGTGAGTCCAAGTCGAGTTAAATTTTAACATCTGAACTAAGTGCAGCGAATATATATAAAAAAGGGTTTGTTTTGTTTTGTTTTGCAGGAGACGTACCTCATGAAACACATGTCTAAACACACAATGGTGGAACATGTGGTGTCCCATCACTCCCCTCAACACAGGACAGAGTCTCCCACCATCCCTATACGGATCTCCCTCATCTGAGCTCCTCACCCGTCTCCCGCCATCCTCCCATCAGAGACGTTTCCTGTGATATCTGCGCCCCTCTGACGGACTTTGAACCCATCAATGGGTTCCAACAATGTGCCAGACTGTACATGTATCTTGTGAAGAGGTACGCTTTTAACGAGTATATCCTCCTTTCCTTTCTTGCTGACCAGATAGTATTATCGGGGACATCCAAAGATGACTTCTCAGCACTTTCAGGCCTGGAAATGACAGGCCTAAAAATTTCTTTTTCTATTGTGACTTCACAGAAAAACAAAAAAAAACATAAGTATTGCTCCGGGCAGCTACGATACATGGAAAATTTTTTTAAAGTTTCTGTGTTATAAAAAGATTACATTGTCCTTTTTTTTATACGGTCCATCGATTTCTTTACTCAAGTCTTTGCAAGAAAAAAAAAATGCATCAGAAATAGTCTTCCGTTAGCTGAGTGAACATAAAGGTGAATGCTTATATAATGTGTATTCATGTATATCGTGCCACTTTTTACGTCAGTGTTTGCAATCTTTCACCAATCACGTGCCCCTAACACACATGCAAGACTGCGTTCACATGGAATCAGAGAGACCAGATATTACTTTAGTGGACGAGAGCAGGACGGTAATGTTAGGTGAGGCTGGCAGAGAATAACGGCAATGATTCCATGTGAACACAGCATAATTAATATTTATATTACAGTAATTTTCTCGCCCTGTTGCCAAACTCATCCTGCAGGATGTGTGACTCGGATGGATATGTTTTCTTTTACATATATTTTGTAATGTTATGAAATATAAATGTGCTTTAGGTCTCCTTAAATACAAGAGCTGTTCAACAGTGTTTCAGAAAAAGACACTAAGAAAACCCACAAACCACAAAAAATTTAAAAAAAAAAACAATTGAAACTCTAATTGGTGCAATGAATGTGAGAGCTTCTGCTTTCAAGTACTGCAAGTACATAAAGTAAAACAAAAATGTTTTTGTTCCCTGAAATGATAATTTATACGCATTTATCTTGCCATGCACTCAATGCTTTTTGTCCACTTTGGGTGTGCAAATAAATAAAGGTAGTGGCAAGACTGAAATGTTACACCACCACTCTGCTGCTGCTGCCACACGGACAGATGTGTGACTTTACTGGAAATCACAAATGATGAGGTCCCTTTTTTTTTGGTTTTCAGTTACGATGTGTAACAGAAGTGTCGCACTTCTTTGAAAACTGATTTTGCCATTGTTTTATGAATGAAAACTTTGCCATTTTATATGCATATAAGCCTTAACTTTGTTACAACTCTAGGGTCCACGGTGTTGTTTTATCACTTTACATTTGCCTTTTATGTCATAGCATGATATATACTGTAAATAAACTATATTAACTGTCAGCCTGTTTTATAATAAATAATTCTATAATTACAAATGATGTTAAAAAGCCTTTTTCTTTCCTCGCTGCATGTAAAGAAACCAAAGCTTGGATGAAATGCCTCAGAAGCTTTGCTGTGGTGCCATAGCTGTTGGTTTGCTTTTTAATCTGCATTAATAGGGAAATGAGATTCAAAGCTTTGGACTTTACACAACTCTTGTTACTAACCTTACTGTCAACTGCTGAGTCAGACGAGGGTTATTTTTCAGTTAGTGTTGGTTCAAAACGAGACGGTTTAGGACCAGTGAAAGAGGAAGCGTTTGGGGCGTTGGGGGCTTAGTGGTAGAGCAGGCGCCCCATATACAAGGCTGTGTGAAGCCCCAGAGTGGCATTATGAAATGAAAGTGACATGAAATAGAAATATCACAGGGAACAGTTACAGGATGTTTGGGAAAACACCCTGTCTGTAATGAATTTGAACACAGCAGAGCATTCAGCAGTGTGAGGGGCAGTATTCACTAACATCCTAATAACACTCAGAGAGCTCCTAACTTAAAATATTTGAGCAAGGAGTCCTAACTTAGGGTGACGTAAGAACATTCTCAGAGCAACTCTGAGCAAGGAAGGGACAGAAACGTGTACTTAAGGACAGAGGAGTGGTTGTCCCTGTTGCTAGGTATGACACATTCTTCTGAAAGGTGTGACAGGTTGTCCTTTTGTGAGCCTTCAAGGTGTGGACCCCCAGTGGAAACAGAATGACAAAACAAAACAGCTGAAGCAGAGGTTAATAGGTAGGTGGGTGCACATTTCATGCCAAGAGAGCAACAGGACCAGATAGTATCAGTGGGTGGGGGGTCCTCGAACTATGTGTTGACCAACTAGCGCTGGTTACTGGCTCAGTCTGTTAAATCCAAAACAAAACTAACCTGCAAGAATGTTCAGCCCAGGGGCTCTCCCCTCTGTTGTGATGAAGAGCTTTGAATGACTGGTTAAGGATTACACCTGCTCCTCACTAACCAGCACACTGGACCCTCTACAGTTTGTCTTCTGTCCCAGTCGATCTATAGAAGACGCACACATCCTCCACAACCCTGTCTCAGCTGGCCCTGTCTCAGCTGGAAAACAAAGGGAGCTCTGTGAAACTGGTGTTCATTTCCTCCAGGCTGGTCACAAAGCTCAATGAGCTGGGATTAAATGCCTCATTGACCATGTGGATCCTCGACCTCCTGATGTGCAGACCCCGGGTGGTGGGAGTAGGTGGACACAGCTCGTCCACCCTCATCCTCAACACCGGAGCACCTCAGGGCTGCGTTTTGAGTCCCCTGCTCTACTCTCTGTACACACACAACTGTATAGCCACTTCAAACACCATGATCAAGTTTGCTGATGACATAGCTGTGGTGGGCCTGATCACAGATAACAATAAAAAGGCCTACCATAGAGAAGAAGAGTACCTGACCCGCTGTTTTTAGGACAACAACCTACTCCTAAATGTCAGCCAAACTAAGGAGATGATAGTGGACTTTGGGAAGGGGCAGCAAAAGAACTATGCACCCCTTAACATCAACGAGTCCTCTTAGGAGAGGATGGATAGCTTTGATATCTCCATTATTATATACAGACTATGGAATAACTGGAAGTCTGTAGTGCACCTGCTCTGTGGGCCACACAGTGCGGCAGCAGTGCCGATCATCTCGGTAATTTTATACACAGCAGTTCCATGCCTTTCATGTGCCACTCAGCAACTTTCATAGGAATGAACGGGGTCCTGCCTCTAATGCTATATCCATTTCTTTTTATACATCCATGGCAGGGCCTTGTTTATTTCTGGGAACGCTGCACAGTGGTGCTTGAAGCCAAAAGCTTTCAACTGCCTCTTCTGCATTGTGTTGTCCTTACAGCAATCGCACTACAGACTTCCCCCCAGTCGAGCTGGCTACTTCGGGTTTTGTGCTTCGCTAACTTGAATGGGTATAAAATGATGGAATTGTGCAGCTCTGCTAGACTTTCAAATGTCATCGGACTGAATGGATCAAATTCTGAAAGTGAAACAAGTAATATCGTGGGGGTTGTGATGCTCAGAAATATATATCCACTGATTTACAGGCGTCTCTTTAGCCATTGAGTGCTCCAGGGGTGATGCGTGATTGTGTAGGCCGACGCGGAAGTTAGCATCACACTGGTCCCCTTGTCAAAAAGCCTATGGGATTTTTCAATTGAATTTTGGATTATTGTTGAAGATAAGCTCTGTGGCTAACAAACAATTTTCACATATGAACACCACTTTCATGATTATTGAAGCCTAAATGCAATCGCCAGAAGCAAAGAGCTAACGTTAGGCTATTAACGAACTACACTATGGTTGCATGACGTAATTTCACCATGGTACCAAGACTGTGAGACCATGCTCGGCACAATGACATTCTGTAATCTCATTTAGCCACATATAAGAGTGTTAAGACACATAGAAGTTTCCAAGTTTACAAGTGGGGTATTAACTGACGTATTTTATGTCATAGAACAAAAAGGGAAAGTCTCTTACGCTTGTGTAACGACAGGTCTTGTTTCAGGCATCTAACCAAAAACCCATTGACTTTGAAACGAGGGAACCGTGAGTTGTAAAATGCAAAGTCATTTCCAGGTTTTGGGACTCATTCCTGGGGCACTCTGTGTAAGTCCATGAGAAAAAGTCGTTTCAGGTCACAGGGCCTCACATGACAAATGTAATAAACACTGTTCGGCCATTACGACAATTGGCTTCAAAACCCACTGCACTTCCTTGGGATGTGCCTGCAGCTTAATGAATCTGATAGGGTGGACAAGCTGTCAGTCTGGTTGGGCCTGCAGATCCGCCTCTGACCTAAGCTCATTTGTTGTTTGAAATCGTATTTAATAATTTAATTACACTTTTATCTGTTGTTTTTTTTGTTAGTTTTCTGTCTTTGTAAAGCACTTTGTAACTTGTACTTTCTTTTAAAAGTGCTGTATAAATTATTACTATGATCATTAATGCTACATGTTACTTAACATCTTTAAGCTCATTTCCGACTTGACATCATGGCTAATGATTTTGCAAACTGATCTGTAGTGGGTTTTTTTTTTCCTTAATGGATTATTTCCATTCAAACAGTCATTTCTATTAGCTGCAGTATGGTACAAATGTTGATTAACAGACTCTTGAAATTCCAGCTGTATGATCCAGCACAAAGATGTAAATGTTGTGAGGCAATTGTATCAAGGTGGCCACAGCTCCCCCTGGCCCCTCCTTAGGGGCGCCACTGCTCAGGCATTCATCTAACCTAAATAAAACCATATGTAAAGTTTAGAGTGGAGATATACTGCAGGTGAAACTGCAAACAACCCATAAACATCTTTAACATAACGAGACAAATGAGATCGTCTTCTAACTTGAGATTAGAGGTTTTTCCTCAGCATCCAGGTATTTGCAAACATGTTGGAACAGGCGCAGGTAGCCCTTTATCAACATGGTCAGAGTTTTGTTGACTGTAGAAGGCTGACTGTATTCCTGCCTGACTTTGAGACTCCTATCTGCATGCAGCCCAGAGAGAAACAACATGAGAGACCAAGAGCATGGGTTTTGTTTCATGCATTGGGGGAGAAACATAACTGAGCATTAAACACAAAAACAAAATTTCTATGCAACATTTTTTGTCTCTTGTGCACCAGGTTAAGGTTTAGAAAGTGTTATCACTTCATCATTTAATCCTATTGGACATTTTTGTGAAGTTGTAGCATAAGAAGTGCTAAAGTCTTGAGTTATGGTCAAAACCATGTTATGTGAGGTCACAATGACGTTGACTTTTGACCACCAAAGTCTGATCAGTTTATTCTTCAAGTTAACTTTGTGCCAAATTTAAAGAAATTCCCTCGTGGCATTCTTCAGATCTTGTGTTCATGACAATGGAAGGGGTCGATGTACATAAGGACAGACGGACAGACAACCTGAAAACATAATGCCTCAGGCTATGAAAAAAAAAATCACCTTTTCCACTCATGCGTGAAGAGTTTCATGTTTCTGCCTTTGTGAGTTTTGTGCATGTTGCACCTCAGGTCAGGTGTGTTGACACAGACTCACTCTTCAGGTTTGAACTGTGAGATTTGTCATTTTGAACTTTTTGTAAAGTGATTGCTTCCTTTTTTTCCCCTAAAAATTGTACCTTGTCTGCCAAGTGCAATTTGTCACTCGGGAAATCTCGGGGGAAAAAAAATCTGTCACTGTTGCAGCCTCGTGTGTTGTGTTGTGTTGTGTTGTGGAGCAGCCAGCCCAACATCTCTGCACAGGTAGACTACAGCAGAAAAACTCACCTGTGCGCGGTCTGGCCCACATGCCTCAGCTGTAAACTGACTCCAGAGGAGATCATTACACTGAGACACGCCCTTCCCACTTATACTGAGGACGCACAGGACTGTACTAGAGTGAGCCACAACCTTTAAAACCACTATCAGCCTGTGAATCTTTTTTGTTAGCGGAGTTATGGATGTATGTGGGTGACAGCGACTCACAGGTAAATTGTCAACACCTTTTATGTCAGATTAATCGTTGTGTGTAGGAACCTGCTCGCTGATCAACAGCTTCTTGGTTTACTTGAAGTCTAACGAGTTCAGTTTAATTTGCATTTGAAAACAAATGATCAGGCTATTTAAATCAGACTACAACCTCCAGCAGTTTCTAATGTTTTTTACCTGCATCTTCCATATAACGAACTCTTAGTGTGTCAACTAACCTGATTTCTTAAATAACTCCACCAGAGATTCATGATAAAATTTAAAAACTATAAAGCATATATACAAGCATATTAAAGGGGAAAAGATGATTTTATTCTTCACGTTTACCAACATTCAAATTAATTATATTTTTAATTTCATTTCATTTTATTATTATGTTACATGATCAGCAACTACATAATGCCATTATGCCTCTATGCAAAATACAAACATTAACATCTGAGGAAATGGAGAAGTATTAATGTTGAATGTAATCAGTCCAAGTGCTGCTGATGAAAACTCACCAATTTGCAAAAATTATACAGGTAACATAAATTCTTAAAGGCTGGGCTGGTGCAGACTAAAATGTGTTCACAACATCAGACACTGAAAGCTGTAAAAGCTGCAAACATCTTGTCTGATTCATCATCTGTCATACTTCTTCTTTAACAGAAAGCGTCTGATTCATCATCTGTCATACTTCTTCTTTAACAGAAAGTGTCTGATTTTCAGTATTTCACACCATAATATCAACACTTCTTTTGAATTCATTGAATCAGTGTAACATATGCAAATATTTCTGCCTCATGAGTAGCTTTGCTACAGAAACAAGGAACAAGGCTGTAGCCATTTATATTTTTATGAATATATTAGGGGGACATTTTGAACATGTGTGAATATTGAAGGGAAGTACAGATTGATGATAATGTTTGGGAGGAGAGCCTCAGTAGGATTCAGTACTGTTCAATTAATGTCAGACATCAGTTAATTCAATTTAAGGTCATGCATAGACTTCACTACTCAAAAACTAAGTTACATGGAATCTATCCTACAATCTCTCCTTTATGTGATCGCTGTAAGTCTGCTGATGGCTCCCTAGCCCATCTTTTCTGGACGTGTCCAAAGTTGCATGATTTCTGGAGTAAAGTGTTCAAATGGTTTTCTGAAATGTATAATTTTGTGTTCAAGCCTGAGCCAGAGGTGGCACTGTTTGGCTATTCTCTGTCTTTATTGACTCATACCCTCCCTGTCCAGAACACTATTTTGTATGGAATGATAATAGCAAAGAGACTGATTTTGATGCACTGGAAGTCAGAAATTGTACCCGTTTTCAAGACATGGCTGACAGAACTTACCTCTGTACTGCACATGGAGAAAATTCGATACAGCATGATGAACAATCTTAAGAAGTTCTACCAGACTTGGCAGCCATTTTTAGACCATCTTACTAAGTTTAATGGGGACCCTGATCATTGATACGATCTATAATAGGCCATTCACATTTAATATAATATATAAGAATTTAAAATTCTTATATATTATTTTCATGGCTTAGGGAAGGGGAATCAATATTTGTGAACATGAGCTGCTCGCTCTCAAAGCCAGAAACCAGCGAAGTGAGTCTCAAAAATGTGATTTCAGCAAGTATAAAGTCTGAAGCTGCTTCACTGACAGTGAATGGAGACTGATTTATTTTGTAGATCTACATAATGAGTTTTATTCTACTGAGGTGTTCTCAGTTCTGAATCAGAAAAGCTTCAGACTTTATACCCAATGACATCACAAATTTGAGTTTTAGCACTCTAGTTTTTGGATTTGGGAGAGAGTTGTTTATGTTAACTAATATTTTTGTACTGTCATAGACCATATAACATGTATGCATTTTAAAAATGGGCATAGTTTCCTTTTAAAACAGTGCAAAGTCTAAAAATGCAGAATCAATATTTACAGAAAACAGCATGTACAATAAATAAAATGTAAGTTCTCAAAGTCTTTTTTAAACTATACTGTTTAAAATACAGATGTCAAATACCGAGTATTAACTTTGCTCGTTGCTGTTTGAATTATCTTGAGTAAATGACCACCACATGCTCTTTGATTTTAATGAGAATTAGTTATCATTTGACACCTAGTTTAATATACAACATGATTGGAAGTCAATGGTGGACTTAAACAATGTTAATAAACTCACTGTGTAATGCATTTACTTTTTTATGTCGTTAAATTAAAAAAAAAAACATCTTTAAAGTAATGAAAAATATATTTTTTGGATCATAATTTACTCAGGTATCATCGCTTTAAAAAGGTAAACTGTGTAGCTCCTCCTTCTCTTATCTCAGAGTCGCCATTTCCTCCATGAACCTTCAGCTGCCCTCACATTCCTCCTCAACAGAGTTCAGGGTCTGCAGAGCTTGGACACCAGAGTGTTTCAACAATGGGGTATCTAATATCTTTTTATTGCTGAGGCTGTTGGGCCACACAGTTTTGCATCCTCTGAATTAGGATTCAGCATTTTCTGTTTAATCTGTCTGTCTTTGTGTTTTTTTCTCTCCCTGCAGACACATTCAGAGGACGAAGACTCTTCTGAAGTGTCTCCTTGGCATTCCTGTCACGCTCTGTGTTTTATACTTAATATCTCCATCTATGAGGTGAGTCTGTATTTATATTTAACAAGAAACCACATACTAGATTAATTATTAACAATAATGCAAACATTACATTATTTAGATTTGGTTGTAAATTTTGTTTTTCATATCAGGCTTTTAATAGGCCTCCTGCCGATGGACAAATGCTCCTTGGAAAGTACAAAGATGCTGAGTCTGGACTGCAGTGTGGACGCCACCCTCGATCTTTGGTAAGACTGTTAAGACCTTAAAGTAGAGCTTCGCCCACAAAATGATATTTTGTGTGTCAGTTAGTAATGCAGTGTTACCTTGAAATGGTGGATAAAACTTGTTTTTTCTTACCTGCCTCAAATCATTTTGTGGGTGAAGTACTCTCTCAAGCTTTGGCTTCACAGACAGTCACATTGCCGCTGTTTGCAGATTACACCTTTAAGATGTTTCTCGCTTGGAAGGTCAAACCAACATAGCACTGGTTTGACATATTCAGAAGCCGCAGGTTTCAAATCAGACATTAAAAAAAAAGTTGGTGGTCTTTGGCATTTCCCGTCTTTATATTTTTTCTGAGAAGATGTAGGTGTCTGTGGTTACTGGTTGCTGTAGAGGCCACAGGTTTCTGTTCCAGGCCTCAATTTTCACATGCACACACTGCTGGGCATCTGCTTTATACTTCATAATAAAGATCAGAAGCAAGAACAGTAATTTTATTTATTTCTCCACAGGGATTCCTTTAGTTTCTTTATAAATGTACCTGTTAGGATGCAGCGCAACTGAGGGAAAACACTTAATAATGATTCTGACAAATGTATAAAACCTCGATGTGTATATTTCTGCAATATTTAATGTTTTTAAATGTGGATGTTGTCTTGCACATCACGATTAACAGAGTTGATAAATGAAATAGAGCTGAAACAATCAGTCCATTAACTGATTAGTGGATTGACAGAAATGTCATCTGCAACTATTTGGATGATTGATTAATAATTTTTAGGTCATTTATACAGTAAAATGATCAAAACAAAGATCTTTTTTGTTTTTTTGTGCATTATTTTAGCATATTTAGTGTTAGGACATTCTTAAGACTGAATGATTAATAAACTGAACTGAGAAGACAAATTTACAATATAGCATATTAAGAATTATAGAGTGAAATGTACTTGGTCACAGTGATAGTAATAATTTTTATTGTCCACAAATTTGGCACGTTGTAGAAAAATGTCAATACATACAATAAGTAACACAACATGCACAGTGCGGACAACAATCACAGACCTGGTTCAAGTGCAAATGATGTTTGTGAGTTTAGCAAAGTTATTACATTTGGTATGAAAGACTTTTTGTTAATGTTCTTGGTCGCTGCAGCGGCTCTAAAGTGTGGTCTTTAAGAGGGGGATGAACAAGAGCAGACACAATATGTTTGGCTATTTGTTTCACCTCCACCTACATATACGTATATTGTATGTACATTCCAGTTGTCTTTGCTCTCATGTTTGTTATTCTGGAGGGTCTATTTTCCGTCTTAGCCCCCAGGTGCCCGTACCGTCACGTGCACATATTGAAGTTAAAACACTTTCAAATATACAGAAAAAATTACCTTCTCACTTCACCTACAAATGAATAGCTTTACAATGTTGTGGTCAAACTGGACCCTCTATGTGCGACAGTCATGGACACATTTTTTGGAATTGACAATGCCTGGTCTTCTAACCAGCTTAGAAATTATGTACTGGAATGTCTCCCAATTTGATCATGTATACCTTTGTTACACATCCCTTTTTCACGATGTAAAATAGTTAAAGAAAATGTTATAGGGTACACACTGTTTAAAAAAGAATAATGAGGAAAGAAGGTTTTAAGTCCTGCTGTTTAAACTGCTGTAAACCCACAATAGTCTTTGTACCTGCAAGTATATACTATATTCTTCTTTTTTTTTTTTTAGCAATTGGTAATTGGTTGTCTGCTTGCGATAAACCCCTTAATAAAAATATATAACTAAAAGTTGAAACTCTTTAGAACACTTTGTGAGAAATCTTTAAAATGGCATTTCTTACATTACACCAATCCAATTTCCGAGATAAAAGATAAAAGCACCGCATTGCTTTAAAAAAAAAAAGAAATCTGTTGGCAGTGAAACTTAAAATGCAATTTCTAAGGGTTTCTAAATATTTGATCTACTCTCAGTCATCAAAGCAAGTGGAAAATAATGCCAGGCATTGTGATGACTCACAAAAGTGTCCTGTCTACATAAAACCAATTAGCACCATATCTCGTACTCTCAGAAGTAAAGCTGACGGCCGAGAATATTTGTGTTTTACTTCAGCCAAGGAGCACTGATGATTTCACTCACAAGCCAATTTTAAATGAGCAGAGGAAAAAGAAGCAACCAATCAGTGACATCGTTTTGTCTCTCAAGAATAACTTTAGTTTAATCAAATAAACCTGCACATGCTGCAGAATTCTTGTGACATTTACTGACTCTTGGCTCAGGAAAAAAAATACGATGAACTAAAGTACTTAAAGTCCAGAAGTGAAACTTACTGTAATGCTGCTGCTTGTTAATGTTTTTTTAGGTCATTGTGCTCCAGGTGATGTGTCACTTTGCTACAGTTGATTATAGAAAATACTTTTTTGTTTGTTGTGTGTGATGTGTGTGATCTGTGTGCATGTTGGATGTGAGATGCTGAGCTGCATGTTGGTGAAAAAGAGCTGTGAGAAAGTGAGTTCAGTGTAGAGAGATGTGTGTAATTCTTTTGGGAGATTTTTTTTTTTTAAATCCATGTATTTATTTTCATCATTCTATTGCAAACAAAAAGAAACCTGTGACCTGCTGTATTAACGGATTTTGTGGCATCTAGCAGTGACGACTGCAGACTGCAACCAGCTGAAACTTCACCCATATGTCAAGTGTGAACTCCAGTTTAGGAGTCTTAAGTGTTTATTGTTCAGACGCTTCAACACATTCTCATTCCGACCTCTTCACATATCGACATTTGGTCATGGACTTTCCACGCCCACATACGACGTGAAAGTTACCCTGGGTGCGTTGGTTGTTGACTTCTGGGACACTGTGTCAAGTTCTGCCTGTTACATGCATTGTTTTTTTTCAAAATACACTTCCGATTTCACAGGAAATGTCATATTTACACACAGTCTCTTTCAATCACTGTGCAGTGATTTATGTAAAAGCTTGGGTTATGCTCTTATGCATATTCATATATTTGAAGTTTATTCATATTTGTACGGCTCCTTTAATTTATGTTTTTCTTTTTTAATTGCTTTGTCTTCTGCCAGACGCAATTAGGGGCTGGCGTGTAGGAGCCATGTTGTGTTTATTTATTTATTCTGTACCTCCAAAATACAGGAGGCAGTATTTCCTTTGTTTACTGACTCTACCCGGATGTTGGCGGGGGGTCAGGTAGGTTACTTGAGGTTACTCAGTGTTACACAGGTGTGGCTGATTAGAGGGGAGAAGCAAACAGTTTTCGACTGTGCTTGTGCTTGTGCCTGTGCTTGTGCGTTTTTCTGTTTATAATTTATGTGGACAAGTATTAAGTATGTGGCTTCCGCAAGAAATTAAATGAACATTATTATTTCAAACGCAAAGGAAGTTTTCGTTGGTTTATTGCCTTGCCCGAGTACACGTCAAAACAAAATTAATCAGGTTCAGCGCTGACGTCTATTTAATGGCCATTGTAAATAGTGTGTGCACACATAACGGTACAATATGCGCAAATCCAATGCATTGGTAGCGGACTCGCAACTGCCTTGAATAAACTTTGCGCGTCGGGGCATGCGTTTTTGTGCTGATAAAATAAATAAAGTGTTGACTTTTGACTTTTGGCCAACATGTCAGAAAAGGAGAAACCGGACAGACATTCTGGGAGTGAGACTGACCTTAATGTGGGTGGGGAGGTAAATGCACAAACTGAGAAAAAAGAAAAGCGTGAGGTGAAATTAACAACCAAAGCTTTATTGGAAAAAATAAGCAATTTAGAAAAAGAAAGAAAGGCTAAAATAAATAAACTGTCTAAACTAAAACAAACTATTGTTGTTCTGATGGAAGGTAAAGAACATGCAAATGAGGTCAAAGGTGAATTAAACAAGTTTGTGGGTTTGTCTGAAGAAATACACCAAGTGCATAAGGTTTTGTTGGGTCTATTGCCTGATGATGCTGCAACAAAGCATGATATATGGTTTCACGCAAAAATGTTGAATGTCCATGATTTTATTGCTGGTACAATGAAATGGTTGGCTGAAATTCAAGGTTGCACAACTGCTGTGGTTGATTACACTGAGCAAACCGACGAACAGGTTCAAGGTGTAACTGCAGTTGACAATCATGGAGAAAAAGGTGAAACTCCTGCTGTGGGCAACAAGGAAACAGAAATTAAAGCTGCAGCCCATGATCAAAAGGATGATGTAAATACAAAATGGAGTGGAGGCTCAAAATAAAGCTGCTGCTGGTGGTCGTGAGGAGGAGGAGATCCAGATTGAACCTCATGACAGCATTTCAAATGTTGCTTCAAAATCTTCCAGGAAGTCATCACGTCATAAAGGTTCCTCAACAGCCAGTTCCTCCTCTAGCAGCAAATCCTTAGCAGCTTCTGAACGTATAAGAGCGGAGGCGCAAAGGGCTGGACTCTTGGCTCGTGCTGCTGTCTTAAAGAATAAACATGCTCTGGAGGACCAGGAACACCTGTTAAAGAGACAAAAAGAACAACCTGAGTTGAACACCGAGATAGCTGTCGCTAGTGCTAAGCTGGCAGTGCTACCGGCCAGCAGCAGCAGTAGAGGCAGCATTGCATCGAGGCACTCGGACGGAATGGAGTCCTATTTCAACAAAGGGGCTAAGCCTAAAACCAAGCCTGCTTTCCTCAATCCACATGCTTCACAATTTGTGCCTCAGCCCTCTCAGCAGCACGTGTCCAAACACAGTTCACTACAGTCAGCAGTTGGACCCCACAGCTTATCTGGTCGACACCATCTCAAAGCCTCTTGTGTCGCAAATAAGCTCACCTGTCATCTCAAGCTCTCTACTGCCTCATTTTGAGTTGCCTAAAAATCCAGCTGTCACACAAAGCTGTGCCGGGTCAAAATCAATCAGTGGGAGACCTCTACAGTGTGTTGCAACAACAAAATGATATAACGGCTCTTCTTGTTCAAATGCAAACATCACAGTTACTGCCACATCAGGAAATTCCAACTTACGATAGAGATCCTCTGCAGTTCAATT